TCATGGGGTTTTCCTGGCAAGATTTGTTCAGAGGAAGTTTGCCATTGCTGTCCCCTGAGGCTGAGAGGATGTGACTTGCCCAAGGTCACCCAGTGAGTTTCATGGCTGAGCGAGTGGGGATTTGAACCCTGGGTCTCCAGAGTTATAGTCCAGCACTCAAACCACTATGCCATGCTGGCTCCCAAGGGCTGTGTGTAACTCCCACAAAGTACAGCCAACTCACTTCTAGCTTCCTTTCCTCCCAAAAGCAGACAGCTCTACCAACTGAGCTTGGAAAAGTTACTTTGCTTGCAGAATCTTCCAGCTGACTGCAAGGTCTTTGGGGCTTCTAGTCCACAAAATATATACAGCATAGGCAATCTTCTTGAACTGTGTCCATGAGGGATCTTTGTTGCTGTCGTTGCTCCCTGCTTAGGCTTACTATTTATTCCGGAAAACCAGGAAAATCCCGGATTGAAGGGTTTGAAAAATGTCCCCGCCAGTTGGGCCAGTTGAAGCAACAAACTACAAATCCCAGAATGTAAATTGATGGCAATATATAAACAAACAACAACTTGAAATACAGTGGGGTCTTGGTATATCCACTGGTGTCTGTCTCCAGGTCTTCCCATGGATACCAAAACCAGTGGATGCTCAAGTCCCATTATATATATAGTCACATAGTGTGCCTTATATAAAATAGCAAAATCAAGGTTTGCTTTTTGGAATTTGTATGTTTTTGGAATATTCCGAAGCCATGACTGGTTTGATCCATGGATATGGGGGGCTGACAGTATGCAATGTTAAATATAAAAATGTGGTGGTGGTGGTGCTTTTTATAGGGGTGTGTGTGTGTGGGGGGGTGTTAATAAATGGCCCCAATCCTGTCTTGCATATTTTTGTCTCAGTTTTGTGGAAGAGGAATGATAGCAACCCTATCCCTGCTATTCTTTCTTTGTTGGTTCCTTCTCCTGAGCTACCCTACTGCCAAGAGAGGAAAACAGAGGAATGCACACATTCTTTTGGAGAGGCCCCCACTGGTTGCTGGAAAAGGAATTTGCTCCTCCAGCGTCTGGCCCTATTGTTCATGGACATAAATAGATCCGTTCGCAGTACATGCCAGAACCTTGTCATGTAGGAGAGGGAAAATTTTTCACCATTCCCCCCTTCTTCTTGCCTGTAAAGGAAAAGCTGGCCAGCTCAAAAATA